GGACAACCAATCCCATATGCAGAGAGAATCTCAGTCTCACTTAAAGAAGCAGACAGGTTTCTAATCCTCAAACTCAATCATCATCTACAGATATGAAAACTCCAGAGCTCCAGAGCAATTGAAAGAGTAGCCGCAGGAACACAGACAATGATGCTAGATGTGTCCACGATGGCGGGGGAACTGTATGAAATTTTAGTGGCCTTAGAGGAGTAAGAACAGGGGTGTCGAACTAATTTGTTATGAGGGCCGGATCTGACATAAATGAGGTTTTATTGGGCCGGGCCGGGTGTGTCATAAAATGTAATGCCAGGTAGCGGAGATATAAACTTTATAAAGGACACAAACACAAAAGGTTTTTTTTTTTACTTAAAATAAAAACATGCTTAAAACATGAGCTCTGTAAGCTGCAAACCTATTTTTGATTTATTGCCATTCAACACAGAAATCTCATGCTCAGAGTTCTGAGTCTAGGACCCAGGTTAAAACATGAAATGGCTGAGTAATTAAGAGAGTCTGGCAAAGCAAGCTATGATGCAGCAGCAGCAGAACTGGAAGCAGGAGATGGCCAGTTCCACTGCAGACCTGATGGAAGCCCTCAGGGGGCCTAATCCGGCCCCCGGGCCGCATGTTTGACACCCTTGAGTAAGAATGATTTGGCGAGCAAGCTGGAATCTTCTGCAGATGTTAAAAAAACCAGGTTGATCTTTTAAATTTTACTTCTCAAATTGCCAATGTATTCGCAAAGGTTTGGGCAAGTGAACAAGTAAGCCATGCAAGCTTGCTCAGTTCTGTGAATTTGCTGACAAAGTCCAGCTCACCACCTGCTTGGTATACAGAAGGCTGCAGGGCCAGTCCCTGCACCTCCAAGTTTAAAAAACAGCAGGTGTTTGGCCTGATACCTGTGTGGTGTCTCTGCTAGTCAGAATGTAGAACTCAGGGCTAGAAGCCCAATGTTTTGGTTCGGTATAAGGCAGCGTCTCACATTAATCAGAAGTATGCATTCACAGAGAAAAACGCAGCCCCTTCAGCGTCACCCTCTCGTCTCCCCGCACCCATATCCGATTGCGTTCTGCTGCAGAAGGAGCTAAACCCAGCTTCACAAGTAGCCAAGATCCACAGCAATTTACTGAGTTGTGGCATGAAGTCACCTCCAACGCCTGCGTCAAGAGAAAGGCTGTGTTTATCCCTCAGCGGGGCGCAAAGAACAATTGCTGGCACAGCAGCCCCGCCAGACATGTACTGAACAGCCAGGCTGAGGGGGAAAATGGCTCTCTGATCAGGCGGGCAGTTAAACTTACTGAGAGACTGCCCTTTGCATCCTATTTATGCCTGTTTGGGCTCTGCCAACTCAACTTGCATTTCCTGCAGCCAAGTGCTAGCTGTGAAGCTACCTTATACTGAATCAGACCCTTGGTCCATCATGGTCAACCAGGGCTCTTTTTGTAGAAAACGCCCAGCAGGAACTCATTAGCATAATAGGCCACACCCAACAGCAGGAACTCATTAGCATACTAGGCCACACCTCTGACAGCACCACTCATTAGCACATTAGGACGCACCCCCATGTTACCAGAAGTGTGGTCATCCAGCCACACCCACCTTTTGCTTCTTATTCTGTTGACCTTGTTTGTTGTCAAAACCCAGGGCTTTTTTGTAACAGGAACTCCTTTGCATGTTAGGCCACACACCCCTAATGTAGCCAATCCTAATGAGTTTCTGCTGTTGGGTGTGGCCTATTATGCTAATGCGTTCCTGCTGGGCGTGGCCAACTTGGGAGCCAGCTGGAACTCCGTTCCTGTGCGTTCCTGCCCAGAAATAGCCCTGGTCAATACTGTCTACTCTGATGAGCAACAGCTCTCCAGAGTCACAAGCTGAGGTCTTTCACATCACCTGCTGCATGGTCCTTTTAACGGGAGGTGCCCGGGATTGAACCTAGGACCTTCTGAATGCCTACCAGATGCTCCACCACCGAGCCACAGCACCACAGTTATAGGGAATTACTTGCCCATGCTGCAGGGTCCTGATTTGGGTTGGGACTATGGCACAGGGGGAGGAGGGCTTATGCCCTCCTGTGTCACTGTCCCAAGCCGAAACTGCCCTGGAGGCATTATTTGCCCAGTTGCCGAGGAGGGGGGCTGCACGTAGACTACAAGCTGAACTGCAGCCCCCTGGAAGGGCTACAAACCCCCCCCCCCCCCCCCCCCCGGGGCCCTCTGGCTGCAAGGAATGTGAGTCGGGTTAGGGGAAAGTGCAATGTCTTAGTTTAGACCTAAGGTGGACTATCCCCCTGAAAGAGTTAATACCATGTTTACCCAAAAGAAAGACGATGCTGAATGCAAGACAATTCCCCTTAAAAAAAATTAAAAGCTCTTTAAAAATTACTGTTCAGTACTGCAATTTGCATGCAAATTTACGACGGCCTGCTTCCTCTTTACAATACATGTGTGTGAGGGACTTTTATTTGGTAGATTCCAGGGTATTCCCTTTGCCAATAGAAGTTGAGGGGAATGGCTGAACAGCTGAACATCTGCTCTTTGTAACAACTTCAGCTGGACAAGGGGATTCATGCAAACAGGTTTCAAGAGGGCCTAAAGTCTGCCAGGACATTGCTGCAAAACAAAAATGGCAAGGGGGGGGGGCGCAGCTTTGCACCACAGGACCCTTGCACCATTTTAAAATGACTTTAAAATGGTAGTGAGAACTTATGGTGGCCGTGACTTCTCCCTATCAAGGTTGGTTTGGCTCCAATTTCCCTGGCGGGAATGGCAGCTTTGAGAGAATCGCTAAAGTAGATCTGGTGAGACCGAGAGACTACGCAAGGAATCACTAACAAGGCTAAAGGCT